CCAACAGGAATAATGTGTGTGTGTGTGTGTGTGTGCATGTGTGTGTGTGTGAGATCCTGTAAGTTTTCTTATTTATATACAGTGAAAGAAAAGAGACTTTGAGACTTTAAAATACCACCTTTTTTTTCTAAACAGAATGTAACCAAATAATAAAATGATAAAATGACTACCTTCTATCCCCTACGCTGAGGTTATTTGTCTGAGAATTACACTAAGCTCTGTTTTCCAAGGACGAATGTCTTATCTAAAGCAACGTGTCGTTAGGTACACAACGGGCAAGGTTCTGCATAAGAATTTGAAACATAACAATGTGAAATCCTGACTTCACTTTGAGACAGATATCTCAAAAATTAGGATGAGGTTAGGGAAATATTTTTTCTTCCTTTTATGTTTGAATTGTGCTGTCCCTAAGAATCAATGTGTCCTTTACTAGCATAGAAGTTAGGGGAAAAGATGTTGAACAAGCAAGAAATAATGAGAATTTCAAGGCTGCCTGCCTTTCACACTGTTAGAGATATCCTCAGCCAGACCAGTTTCTCGGCGCCTGAGCCTATGAGGAATGGCTTCACTGGCGAACAAATAGTGCTGTGGACCGGGGCCTCACACCTTAAGGGACTCCATGCTTGGGACTGATTACCAATTATGCGGCTATTCCTCTTGTGCTGTTTCACAGTAAGTGCAAATTCCCTGTAACACCTCTCCCATACTGCAAATATGTCTTCAGATAGTTACATGTCAGGGAAATTATGTCTGTTCTAATAAAGTCACTGAGGGGTTATTCTACATCAGTGGTTCTTGACAGTGCAATTTTCCCCTCAGGGGACATTTGGCAATGAATTTTTTGGAGACATTTTATTTGTCCCAACATTGGAAGACAGTGTCCTGGCATCTCTCAGGTAGAGGCATGAATAATTTTCCATGTCCTACAATGCACAGGACAGGCCCTCACCAAAATTATCCAGTCCCAGATATTCACAATATTCAGGTTGAGAGGTCGTCTTCTGGATTAACTCAAACTTGTAGAAATGTACTAGTGTAGGGAAAGCATAGATTCTGAGCTAAGAATGGTGCTGAGGGTAAATACTGTGGTTTTCTGAAAAGCATGGCATTGAAAGAGCTTCACAGCCCAGGGGACTGAAGAGAGAAGAGAAGTCTTGGCAGTGGTAGTGTCAGAACTTTGCTCTGCAAACTGATCTAACCTTGAAGGATGAAAAGAGGCGAATGTCAGCATGTGTATTTATGACCAGTGAGTACTAAGATAAGAAACAAAAGGTTATAGCTGTGCACTTGTCTTTGCAGTCCTTGTGACTAGTTTACATCCTAGTGTTAACTAAACATTTTTGCAGCAAGATAAAGCAGTTAATTAAAAAAAAAAACCTCCTGCCTATGATGAATGGGTCTTAGAAGGAAGTTACTCCATTGAACTATTAAGAAGATTACAGTTCTCTTGCTCCTCTTAAATTCTGAAACAGTTCTGACGGAAGACAAAGGGTTGAGGCAGTTGGAACAAATGCAAATATATCATTGATGAAATTGTTGTATGAGATATGACTGATGTCTGTGGGTGAGGCACTTCCTAATCTGCACCCCAGCATTAGAATGAAGCACCTCCACTCACAGGTGTGGGAGACTTAGGCGTTAGGATCAACCTCTGTAAAGAGGATTTAGAGAAGCAGAGCTGGGAGTTTTCTCTCTGTGGGTAACTCAATTCCGAAAGGAAGGAAAAGGACTTTGCTTGCTTAGTTCTCCTTCCAATTTACCCAGTTCTGTTTGGCTCTCCCTTCCTTTATTTTGTCCTGGAGAAGAGGGAGTGATGCCACTTCAGTGGGGAGGATGGGAGGTGGGTACGCGAGCCTGGGAGTGCTGTAGGAGTGGCGCTCCCCGCCACATGGCTGAGCACGAGGGGAATGGGGGAAGGACACCTTCCTACCCACCTTGCAAACCTAATGCGCAGTTCCAAGCTGCCTTTGGGGAAAGGGCGCCCTCTGTCCATCTGATGCTTTTCAGGAAACCATAATGTTTACCTTCAAGCTTCTCCTTCTGATGAAAATGCAAGGGAAAGGGGCCCAGGGACAGTTAGTTACAAGATTAACTCCTTACTGCAGATGGAACTGGTGAAGTCTCCACTTTCATTTTCAAAACTCTCTTAATAAACAACTGAAGTGAGAAGTCCAAAGTGACGAGTCATGTTCAAAATGCTAGCTGTTGCCTTTCTGAGGAGGGATTAAACTGTAAGAAGCCCCCTGATCACAAGAACAAGGCCCAAAGAGATGCACTCCCCGTTTCCCTCCCTGTCCATACTATCCTCCACTTGCACCATAAAACCTAAATACTTCTTTTTAAAAGCGGGGAATAAAGTGCTAACTCCATCCTGTACGTGGGTAATGGAAGAATGGGAAGCAATGCGTTCTCCATGCTTTTGTTCCTTTGATCTGGTTGAGATTCACACCTTGGAAAAGGAAATGTAAAGGCCTGTCCTGCCACGCAGTCCTCAACCACTCGTGCAGGGAAGGAATGCTACTCCTCTTTCCTCAAATGCCATATTTTCTGTCCCCAAACACCTCACATGGGACAATTTTGCAGGGCCCACACAACAGTCCATGATGGGACCTGTCCACATTGAACTCACTGGTGACTTCTGCTCTCAATCAAGAAGGGATCTCCTTGCTTTCCCCCTTTAAGTTTTCAGTATAGAGGAGTGAGGCTAAAGCCTTAGCACTATATCCTCAGCCTGTTTTATTTTGTTTTTATTCTTTTGAGGTAAGGTCTCACAAGTTGCTAAGTTATATAGGCTGGGTTTGAACCACCTGCCTCAGCCTCTCAGACTGCTGTGATTACAGGTTTGCACCACCATGTCCAGCCAAGGGACTTTCTTGGTTGGTATCAAGTCATGCACCCATTAAAAATCAAGTACGTTTCCTTTTGAACCCTAGAAAGCTTCATTGTTTGTTGATTCACTAGCATACACTGTTTGTGTTCTGACTCAAAACTGCTAATATCTCAAATTTTGGGGAAATGGACTTAATCAGTATTGCTCATATGATGCAGAGTGAATTAACTCAATTTAGAATATATTTCAGCCAGTATTTTCTTTGATATATTCATGCCATTTGTATCTCCGGGAGCATCCCCTTTCTCCATTATGAAAACTCCTCTCTTGGGTCATTATGCTGAGCAGAGTTCAAAAGTCAAGATCACTGAATTTGAATGTAGATTTCAAGTGGGAAGAAACTGATCATTTAAAAAAATGAAAAAAACAGACCAATGGAGATTTCATGACTTGTTTATAGGGGCTGGGGATTTAGCTCAGCGGCAAAGCGCCTGCCTGGCAAGCGCAAGGTCGTGAGTTCGGTTCCTGGTACCGGAGAAAAAAACATGACTTGTTTATAGTCATAGAGCAGATGCATAGCTAACAATTTTATGAGCAAATTTTTCATCAGTATTGAAAGTCTGAAATGTTTATCTAGGTTTCTGAGAAAGAAGGAAATCCCTAAAATAAGCTAAGTAATAAGTAACCCAAAAAAAAAAACGAATTAGAGTAAAAATCTGGGCACAGTCGTCCACGCTCTCCAGGAAGGTAAAGCAGGAGAAATAGAAGTTTGAGCCTCACCTGAACAACTTAGCAACTTAGAGACCTTATCTCAAAACAAAATAGAAAGGGAAAAAGCAATGAGGATGTTGCTCAGGGCAAAGGCCTTGGAGTCAATCCTTGGGACTGCCAAAACAGAAAAAAAGATGAGATTATTCATGAAAGGGAAAAAATTTTAAGTTATTTTTGCAGATGAATAACAGCCATTAGAGTTCGGTGCCATTATGTAACAGTAGCTACTCTGAAACTTAAGAGGCCTATGTTTCTATTTAATTTCTCAAGAACATCAAGTCTGCATTGTGGTTGTAAAAATTATAGACACTAAACACATTCTTTGCCGAAATACAATATATATTTCTATATTGCCTGTCTACAGTAATTATTTCACTGTATTTTCCAATATTATGTCAAATAGTAGATTCTCTTGCTCTTTGCCTTTGTGAAACTTTGGCCTTGGGTGTTAACATATAAGTATGCAATGCACATGATACAGTGTAGGTGTGTGGGGGACACATTTTGGATTAGAGGACCTCTTAAGTACTCCATATATTTTTTGCTCCATGTTACTCTATTCTCATGTTCATGAGTGATTTTAAAATACTCATGCAACTGAATCATATTCTCCATCACCTTCCATTCTAAAATAAAATACTATTTAGAATAAAAAGTGTTTCATTCCAAGAAATGATAATCTCACTCTAACAAAGGCGTGATACATTTAAATTACAGTGTTTCTTTGATAAGACAACCATACTGACCTTAGCATTTGATGTCTACCTCTCTTATTATACAAAACTAACAAAGAAGAATGTGCTGTGCTACTCTTTCAAGCTAAGGCTTTAGTGCTAATTCAGGGAAAACAATAGTAGAAGCATATTCTACCAAAAAGTAGCTCTAGTATCTAATTATTTTTTTTAAATTGAATTGTTTTAATGAGGTTATTCTATAGTAAAACTCATTTTGATGCTCATTATTCTCAATATTACAAATGTTTTAGACTGAGCTGTTCTGTAAAGTAGACTTGTCCGGAGGGATATACAATATATCACTGACCAAATAAGCTACAGCTTTTTGTTGACCAAGTAAGCTACAGCTCAACGTTTTCTCCAGTCCAGGTACCACTAATTGCTGGTAATTTCTGAACTGGGAGAAGGCTGTGGTACTGTATGGAAACACTGAAGAGAGATTTTAAGAAGCTGCTCTTGAGGAGGTCTTAAAATAGCCTTAGCAGGTGGAGAATGTTCTAAATATCTTAGCGTGAAATGGCAGTGCAAGCTGTCAGCCCACTAGTTATTATAAGAGACCTATTTACTGGACAGAAAAGACTGAGCTCTTTGCACGGAGGAGAGCAATTTGTATTTTCCTCATGAACTGACCATTATAAGGACAAGTGCACATTCACCACAGGAGATTTACTGAATGAGAATCAGCTTTATTTCAAACTGCATATTTTCTAAACTGCATTCATATGTTGCATCAATATTAAAGACAGAGATAAACACAGTAGCCAAATCTCAAGTTAATCCACTCTCTGGAGAACACAGAACCTTTAAAATACAAACAGAGTGAAATTATAATTAAATTAAAATTTTAGTAAGAGTTCGTGTTTTTCTTTCCTACTTTGAAAAATATATATAAAACGGACAATCTCAACAATAGGAGGACAATAAGGTATAGACATTTTAAACATATTATAATCCTAAAACAGTAAAAATTCATACAACAAAAGTACTGACTAGTACACTTAAAATGAATATTGATATTTTACTGCTTCTCCCTGTGATTTTGTACTCACTTTACCCTATATCAATAACAAATACTGATTATGCAAATGAAATAGAAATTTTTAATTTTCAAAGAATTTAAAATTATTTCATTATTTATCGATACTGTAAGAAATTCTGAAGTAATGTTGGTAGCTGGAGCTGGGACATAAGATGCAATCTTGGTCTTCCTATGCAATTTCGGATACAGAGTCGGCAAAGTTGGCAAAGAGAGCTTGGGGTGGCTACAAGAAGACAGGAATATATTTGTTAATTAAAATCAAAATGAACTTTATAATTAGTAAGTTACACTAAAGAAATCTGTTATTCAATGATTTTTACTAAGCTAAGAGAGTAAGGCCAGTACACTATGAACATTTATTTAAGTATTCATATTGCTTTTATTTGAGATCATATAACTGAGATATATCTCATTTAATTAAAAACACTATCATCTTCAGGATTATGAAATCACTGTTGCATGCAAAGCTGCAAAAACAAATTCTTTCTTTTAAAGGAGATATAAATCAAAAACCTCAGTAGTATTACGTACTAAAAGGGGAAATTTAAAAATTATACATTTTCCCTCAAATTAGGTCTAATTTTAAGCAGAAGGAAATTTATTATAGTCTCTCAACCAAGTTTAACAAATTCTGTTTTAGAGCAGAAGTCTTTAGGGTGAAAATTTTCCCTATCATGTTTCATCAACCTGTTACAGAGGATGCATGCCTTTACAACATGGGACATCTTTCCAAATATGAATGACCAGAGTCTATGCCAGAATGACATATTATGCATTGGCAAAACAAACTAAATAAATGTAATTAACAAAAGGAATAAGAAAACTTAGATGTGGCAAAAAATTAAAATAATCATATTTTCTTCATAGATAAAATGTTCTACTCTCACAAAAATACTCCAGATTATCATTATCTTAATTTACCTGCCAACAGAAAGCTTTTTGATTTCATCTGTTTTAGGCAAATTTGTCTGTGTGGTTTATCAAATGTTCACATCTATCCCTCTTACCTTCATGTTGAAGCAGAACTCTTTCCACGACGCTATTAGAGATAGCTACATCTATAGGTCGCAAAAGCTCTGTATTCTTTGCATTGATGTCTGCTCCAAATTCTAGCAGTAAGTTTACAGTTTCTAGGCTGGACTGTTGGGCAGCAGCATGTAATGGAGTATCCCAATATTTGCCTTTCTGTACGTCAGCACCTGTGTATACACAGCAATAATAAATACAAACAAAAATTATTAGGTGCATCAGTTACTTTGGAGGGGGGAAGAAAAGCAACTGAGAAAGGTTACAAAGAAGACTGCTACCTAAAATGAGTTATTTATTTACACATATATTACATAAATACTTTTCATATATCCCTTCTATGTACATATTACATATAAGTTTTTTTTTGAGACAGGACCTCACTAAGTAATTCAGGCTGACCTCAAACTATGTATTCCTGGCTGACCTCGAGCTTGTGGTTATCCTCTCTGGCTCACTAGGTGTGCACCACCACATCCGGAACATATTACATATAAAAAAATTTAAACTTGTACATTTGGAGGGGAGGGACACACATTTGCTATATTACTATAAAATATTCTATATGCTTAAAAGATCTCGTAATGACAGTAGATATATAAAGTTTTAAATTATTCCAAAATTAATTGCACTAACATAAACAGAGCATGATTAAGATCATGCATATCTATTTTCATCAAACATGGAAGTTCTTAAGATGATCAAGAGATTATTACTTTTATTCTTGTATTCAAAGGCAATAAAGTTCTTTAGTTTTTTGAAACTCACAACACTAGATATGTGAGTCACTTAGGTAAAATGTGTGGCTTTTCCTGCCCCTATTCAATCATATAGTTTAAATCAATGAATGGAAAACAGACATGGAGCCTCTCAAATAGAGAAATACATCAATGATATCTGCATATAAATTAACTTTTTGAAAAAATACTTACATTAAAAAATACAACCCTACATCAGAAATTATCTAATGCACAGTTATTTTATTTTAGTGTATGGCCTGACAGATGGTGGTCATCCATGTGCAATAAATAAATGCAGTTCAACACTGTAAAATAATAATCTCACTTTCCAGTACATAAAGAGTTACAACACCAAGGAATCCCTATCAATAAAATGTGAACGTTCTTTTCAACTTTGTTTTCTGATTCTGTTTGTACAATTAATGATAATCTATAAGAAGCAGTATATTTTACGAGTTCCTTTATTGGCCTCCTACTTCTTACAAATTTCAATAAACACAATCCTTTTCAATTTTTGAAAGCAAATGCAAAATGTTCAGTGAAGCAATTATATTTCATAGCAAAATTTCCATAGAGGAATCATAAACACTGTGAGTTATATCAATTTTATGAGTGACTAAGGCCTAAAAATAACAATTACTAACAGCAATTTTTCAATATTTTTAAAAACTCAATATAAAATATGTGGTGGAAAAATTAAATTCCTAGCAAAGTAAAGATAAAATATAAACCCTATTTGTTATACCAAATTTATGGGAGAACATGGCTAGAAAGTCACACTCTGCCAACAATTATTAACAGAACTCATGTTTCAGGCTCCAGCTGTAATGAGAATGAAATAATAAATGCAGATCCTGCTTGCTAGAAATTGATAACTTAGCTGAGATAATGTGAGTAATGCATAGTAAATGGGATTACTAAAAATACAGATCTGAATATATTAAGAAGCAAATGACTGTCATAAATAATAAGTAGAAAACCATTTGCTCATTTATGTATATTCTACCCATCTGTGCCACATATGAGGGAGGCATTGAAAAGAAATAAAATGATAGGACAGGGAAGCTTGATCCATATCTTAAAAGAGCTCCTGGGTGCATGGTGGGAGAGACCCTTATGCACTCAATAGATCACGAATGTTTCTCAGGGGCCTGGTGTTGAACTTTGAGGAATTAGGTTATTTCATGAGAATTAAAAAGGATATTAAGTTATTTCACGTGAACAAGACAGAATGTACAAAATCTGGGAAAGTGTACATGTTTTTATAGTTGTTAGAAAATGAAACTATCCAAGAAGTTTCTATCCCTAAAATTTCTCCTATGGATTTGCTCAAATCCAAATACATATATATAAATACAGGTATATTTAGCAACATTGTATTCAACCTTAATGGCATTTTATAAGCAGGGCTTTCAGACTCCATTTATATACCCAAATGTCTGCAATGCTGTGTATATAAAATATTAAGATTATATATTCATCTGTGAGCTTTAAGTGTTATCAATAATGAAGTCCTTTTATTGGTTATATACTTATAAGAGAATGTTTATAAAGAAAACATTTGTAAAGCAGTAAGATACACTGTTAAAAGAAGCTGAGCTAGGGAAGTAATTGCTCATGTGTATGGACAGAAAAAAAAATGTTTTAAAGGAAAGTACCAGCATAAAGAAGCATCTGGATGCAGTGGAATTGCTGGGACATACAAGCGACGTAGAGAGGTGTTCCCAAGTGAGGTATATCTTGGTCAACATCTGTACCCCAGGATATGAGAATGTCAAGACATTCGTGATGACCTGCCAACACAAAGTAGCAATGAGCTTCCTTTCACTCATGCCTATCCACCCCACATCGCAAACTATGCTTCCCCCAAGTGTAATTTAGTGCAACAGAAATGAAACGAAGCATTTTAAAAGAATCCCCTACACACACACACACACACACACACACACACACACACCCTTATCATTTACTCCTAAAACTGAGTTACCTTTACTAGCAGCCTCGTGCATGGGAGACGGGAGACAGGACTCCAGCTGCGCTTTGGCACCATACTCCAGAAGAAGTTCTGTACAGCTTGCACTGCCTTGTGAGCATGCATTGAATAATGGGGTCACGCCATCTATTGTGATTGCATTTACCTATACCAAACCCAAAAGCTAGGAATAAGATTCATAATTCACACACGATTTGAAGTTCACACAGTTTTGAAATTTCAAATGTCATGCTCTCTGCCAGCTGAACTAGTTGGAAAGACAAGTGCAGCAAATAAGACAGAGTCTACTTAGTTGATACCCATTCATAAGAAAAGATTTAAAACTGCAGAAGACAGCTGTGCTGCTTCAAGTAACTCATAGAAATAGGCGTACAACTGATGGAACTTATGGAAAAGACATATTCAATGTCAAATGAAAGCTAATTCAATCATTAAGTTTCAGTAAGAAAAATAGAATAGTGATGAAAATTGTGATGAATTCACTGTACTTCTGATTACTTAAACTGATAAAATTGGTCATTCTGTTTCTGAGAAAGAACTTAAGGAAAATCATCAAAAACTTAGGAAACATTAGAGGCCTAGAGATGTTCATCTATTGCTAGACCCATGAAAGCAGAAAATAACTTAAAGAATATTCTGCATTATTATGCAGCATGCTTCCCATTCATACCGTGGTTGGAAATACTTTTAAGAGCGTGTTACATATTTATATGATTGTTGGAAAATAAGAAGGCTGAGGTGATTCAACGGCTTTATTTTTACCCTTACATCTTTTTGAAAGCTACTGAGGAAAAGAAGAAGAAAACTCTGCTTGAGTCTCTCAGTTATTAGTTATGAAATTGTTAATGTAGAAAGGTGCTTACACTGGCTCCAGCTTCCAGAAGAGTTTTGGCACACGCCAGGTGACCTCCCAGGCAAGCTTCGTGCAATGGGGTGACGTGGTCTATGGTTACTGCATTTACATTATAGCCCTACACATGACATAAATTGGAAAGGTGAGCAAAATGTTACATACATCATCTTCATAAGTATGATAGTCAGAAAATGATATATTTTAAAGATTAAAGAATCTCGGGCAAACCAGTTTCCAGTTTAGCAGGATTGGCCAGCTCAAATGTCAGAGTCCATCTGTTGCTGAAGTTTCCAATCTCTTCATTTCTGGTAATTCTTAATACATATTATAGGTTTTTGTAAATTAAATTCACTAGGATTTATTACTTCTATCTAATTGCATTTTGGTCTCTCTTGTCCAACAATCCTCTTGTCTGTCTTTCCCCCACCCTCCACAGACTCTAGTATTTACTATTCTACACTCAGATGGATTGTTAAAGCTTTTTGTACATGTGGTATTTGTCCTACTTTGATTGATTTATTAATTATGTCCTCCAGTTCTACGCATTTTACTTCAAAGCACAAGTTGTCACTCTTTTTTATGGGAGTTCAATATTTATACATATAATTTTTTATCCATTTGCCTCTTCATGGCCATCTAGGTTCATTCCATGTCTTAACTATTGTGAGCAGTACTACAATAAACATGGGAGTGAAGGTATTTATTTGATGTGCTGATTTTTTTTCCCCTGGAAGGCTCCAAGCAAAAGTAATGATAAAATGATAGAAATATTAATTAGCATGATTTGATCAGGACATAGTTTATACATGTATTGAAATACCATATTGTAATCCCTAAATATGTACAGCTATTAATGAAATCAGAAATTATTCTGAAAAGCTTAAGGAGATGCAAATTCTAATTACCTTGATTGACTATTATGCACTGTATATATGTATTGAAATTTTCACACTGTTGATCATAAATGTGTACAGTTAAAACAATAATAACAAAAACTCCTTAGCCCCACTTTTGTAGCATACTCCTGCCTCAGTCTAATAAAGTCTTAAGTATTTTGTTCCATAGGTTCTGGCATGCTCTTTAAATTTTGCTTTCTTAATTTTTTGTGTGAGGTGTCTTTATTTTGTTGTTGCTTGTAGAACTAAACATTGTTTATAGCTTAAATCACTTGCTTTGATTGAAAATATATAATTATAAGTCGGTACAAAATGGAGAAAAAAATAAACTTTAGTAAACTGTTTTGTAAATTTCTGTCACTAAATAGATGTGATTAAATTATATGATAGGGTTAAGAACTCTGACTATAGAACCAGACTTGGGTTTAAAGCTGTGGATCCATTATGCAATAACCATTGCAATTTGGACATGTTCCTTAACCTGTAAATGTCAGGATTATCATGAGAGTTACATGAGATAAGTCATGAAACATTGCTATTATTACAGTGCCCAGCGCATAGAAAATCTTAGGTTTTATTTCGTTATTGAATCAAAACTAAGTAAAAATCTTTTCATTATATCCCAATTAAACTCACAATATCAAACTAAAATGTGTGAGATTCTTTACCTTCTCAATATCATTAGTAATTCATTTTCTAATAACAATCATACTAAACCCTATTATAATAGGAAGAACTTCAAGCCAAATCCCTCCTAACACATTGCAAATTACAATAATCTCTAATACCAGAATGGATATGAAGAATCATAAAACAATTGCACTAAAATAATCACACCAAATCTTCGCCACTACTGAGTGGAAATTTTTAAGATCCTTTGCTTATCCCTGCAGAGACTTCAGGCTGCTGGCCAGCAGGCAGATTTGGAAGCTACCCCAGCCTGCTGCAGAGCAGATGACGAGATAACAGCAGCCTGTGAGGAGTGGAGGTTCCCTTTCCCACTGGGCTCTTGGGCAGTTCTCACTCTTCCTGGCAGCGTCCAAGGGTAGGAGATACGTGCTGAGATATACCGGAGGACTGCTCTCCTCTCAGAGAGCTCTCCTGGGGATTACTCTTTGAAATTACTGACCTTTTTATAGGTTCCTTCCCCTTCATCATCAAATGATGAGAAAAACAAAACAGTCACATGATTGTCACAGACCTGAACAGCTCTGGGGGAATATCTCTTCTCATTTTAAAAAGGAGAAAATACAGCTCAAAGAGCCTGTGGGTCACTTCAAGTGCCAACCGAGGATCCGGTCTCCTGAGACCTAGGCAGGACTGTTTAAATCAAGACACTCAAGTTTTTCTCATAGCCATTTGAGAAAACTTCTTTCTCCTTGATACTGGTGAAGTGACATTCAGAACCATGGGTGAATTTAAATCAAATTGGAAGCTTAAAAATTAAACGCCCAGGGCCCAAGTTAGACTATCTTTGTCTCAGCAAGGAATTTGTTTTTCAGTTTTGCTCTGCTGAGTCTGATGAGCAGGCGGTATAAAAACGAGAGTTCTATCACCTTCAAAGGTAATTCCTCATAGTACTGTTTATTGCAGATCATCACAATGTAAAATAGATTGTGTTGGCATCTGATCTGATCACCCTTTTTTGGGTATTATTTGACTAAGTCTGCAAGTAGCTGGGCAATTATAAAGAGTTAAGCATGTTTACAATTGAATAAATAATTCAAAATTACATTAGCAAATGAGTAAAGATCTGTAGCAAGGAATAAATACACTGTGAGAAATCTGAACTACTTAGATATAGACTTATACTAAAGTATTTACAAAGGATTTTCAAAGATGAATCAGAAATTATTGACTTGCGTTGTGTGAGTTGAAATGAAAAGGCAGCAGTCAAACTTAAGCAATATTACTATTTTTTAATTGATTTGCTTTAACAATGCTTTACGTTCATAAGAGGGAATATATATTAAGCTACATGTAATATTTTACCTGTGATAATAATGTTCTTAGTGCAAGAAGACGGCCTTGACTTGCGGCTTCATGTAGTGGTGATCGATCTGCCCAGGAGCCTACAAAAAAAAAGTAAGAAAGAAAAAGAAAAGAAAGAAAAAAAATGAAAGAAGAAAAGAAAGGAAACTAACTTTGCGAATCAAAGTGACCCCTAATACGTTCGGTGAATTCCTGTGTAACATGAATTGTTCAAGTTTGGCATTCAACAAGGTGATCCATATGCCAGGAAATTTGATTCTTATCTGAAAGATCTAGATAAACAGCTTCTAAATCTACAAGACTAAAATGCTCCGAAACAGAACTAACCCCAACTTACTACTGTCCCTATTGAATTATCTTCCAGAGAGGAGGAAGATTAAGAGCATGAAATTGAACAAGACAAAAACAAAACAAAATAAATGCCAAACAAACACCTGTATTTAGTGGTTTTTCAGACAAAACAAAAAACTATTTCTTTTAATTCTTAGCAGTCACAGCTGCCAGGACACTCGCCTACATCTCTCCACACCCAGCCTACCCTGGTTGTCTTTCCTTTCCCTACCTCTGATTCTGCCCTGGTCATGAGTTGTAGCACTGCAACATATTCCCAAGGACAGTTGTAGCTGAGCCCTAAGTCTTAAATGTGCAATAAACTAGATGGGCCCTAAAAAAGGGGTGCCACGGGCTGGTAAGGGCATAGCGTCAGCTGTGTTTGAGATATTCCTAATGGTGCTGAGGGTTCATTCACAGACTACTGATTCTCCATGTGCCAGGTGTAGTTGTCATTGACACCGAGCACCTCCATCCTTGTACCATGGAGATTTCCTACTGACCTGCCATGCCTCTTCTCCAAGCTTTCCTCTTTTCATATGTCTTTGCACAGCCTCCATCGAAAAGATCAATCCCTTGCACAACAATCCCCTTTTCTTTCTCTCCCATTTCCCCTCTAGGTACCCAGCCACCACCCAGAGACGTACCCTTCTCTCTCACGTCCCTCACCATGTCACAGCCAAACTGGTTTTAAGAAATCTTAGTTGGGACATAGTAACTGAAACAGGACCGACATTGTTAGGTCAATTTACTGGACATGGGACTTTTAAAGTGATTAAAACTCTAATCACATTACTGAAGAAGACTATCCAAACTTGGAGCAGACTTGAAGCAGACTATCCAAACCTGAACAGATTGTTTAAAGGCTGATAAATAAAAGCAGTACTGATTAGAATGAAAATCTTCCCCATGTAATATGACTGAGTTGCTAATATGTGCCTTCCTCTCTCCTGCCTCTTCCTCCATTTTAAATCCGTAAGATACAATGAATCAAAATGTCTTTAAAACTGCTGAATAATTCTAGCACAATTTAAATAAAGCCACAGCTGTTAGTCAGAAATGTAAGTTTTATGAAAAGCTTATCTAAAGCTTGTTTAAATACATTAAGAATAGTATTCAAAATATAACTGCAATGGAATGCTATTCTTTAGAAACCAGCTTATTATACTACTTTTCAGATCTCTGAAAAATTTTACATGTGATTCTACCAGTGATTCTTTGCTATGGTCTTAACACAGAGCTTTGTCCAAACACCTTAAGTGACATCCAAATAATTCCACTCACTAAAATGTAGGGCACATATCACACAGGAATGAAGCACCCAAGTGAGCATGGGGCAGAAGTCAATTGTCAATTATCAACTTTTTTATGTAAAATGATCTAGGATTGTATTGAAAATGCAAATCTTAAGGGAGAGTGGAGTATGTCTTCTCTTTACTGGTGATTTATGAGTAATGATTTATGACAGGTGATGTTGAACAGCATTTAGGTGCCTAATAATAATTGAAGAACTATATATATAATCTCATTTAGTTTTCACAATGATTTAAAGTACATACAATTCAGAGTATCCAGGTAGTACTTAAGGTGTCCACTTTGCATTATTTCTTGCTTATCTGTACAAACTAGTAATTCAAGCATTCAATTCTTTGAGTTTTCATCTGAGAGAAGAATTACTGATATTCATTTTTGTGTGTTGCTTCTCTGCAGTGTTCAACAGTGATATTGTACACCCAAAGTAGAATTGTAATAATGAACACCTATAAATATTTGTGGACAGGAGAACATGTGATGGCCAAATAATAATTTGTAAGAAAACGGAAGTAAAAAGCATTAAAATGTGTGATGCACATGCACCAACCCCCCACAATGTAATCATTAGATAATGCAAACATGCACTATTAAAATCTTTAAAACTTTAAAAAAGACAAAAACAAACCATGTCAACAAAGAAATTGGAGCATTGTGCTGTAATAAATAAAACACATAATTTATCATCATAAACATTCTTTGAGGACTGACCATGTTTGAATTATAGGTTCTAAGATAAAAATCTGATGTTTTACAAATCATACACATGTAAGTGTTTCCTTTATTACTAAAAATTTTTTGCAGAGTGAAACTCTGGAGAACTCCAGGGCAAATATTTAATCAAGAAAATATGAAATTATAATACTAGCTTTCCAAATAGTTTGCATGTGTGATGCTACTATATTCAGTTTAATCAGCAGAGCAGTAGCAAATTCATAAATGTTTAAATAATCAATGCTTAAAATGTGTTTCAGTTTCAATAATCACTTGCAATATTTGTCATGAGCAAGTGTTTCTTTTCTGTGCATTATAATATATCTTATTATCTTTATTTTAAAAGATAAATACTAAATTATAAGATGGTGACTCATTATCGCTGCCTGTTTCCATTGTTGCCCCCTAACGTGACAATCAGCCAAACCTCAGAATTGGCAAAAGCCTAAAGAAATGGCCTTTCAGGTTCAGTTCAGACCCATTTATTTCTAGCGTGGTGTGAAGACCTTTAAGGGGAAGCAAACCTAACAGCATTTGCAAGTGAGGGCTACTTGGTATGCCTCCCAGCCAGCTCTCCTCCTCTGCATTCTAATGTGTTTGTTCATCAAAATGATTGTTTAGTCTTTGAACAATTTTAGTACTATCTGCTGGTATTTCAAAGGTGGGGAGGGGGATTTGATCATCTAGAAAGTAGATACATAAGAGCCAAAATAAAGACTTCTTGCTACATTTTCCCTGTAAGAATAAATAAGAAATAAAGCTATATCAATCTCTGAAAGGAGTAATTTATAGAACATGCATAACACCTAATGGAAAACAAAATCTAAATTCTGCATGCTTAACTCCAAGCAAGTCCATTTTATTTACTTTCTTATAATTTCTGAGACTATCTGCAATTAATTTGGTAGCATGTGAGAATCAAAAGATACTAGATTAGGTTCCAATTTCTGTTTTGAAGCTTTGTTCCTCCATTTTCCCCAGTTCAAGATCCAAAATTTAGCAACTACAATCTTCTGTTCAAATATGCACAATGTTAAATATCTAATCTTTCAATACAGATGTGCTTTATATCAGATTTATAAGCTTTGTCAAGATCAAATAAAATGTAAATATCTCCACATATAGTCATTTACTAATTTTACAACTGTTTTAGACTTTGAGTAGGTTTAAAAACAACAGAACTCCTAATTATAAAAATATCCAGTTTAACTCTTTAGGATAAATTATTCACTGTGAAATTGTTTTAAAAAATATCTGTGACTTTCAGCATGCTAATCAAATGCTTACTATTACGGTCTCTGAAGGGACACAGGAGGTGACTCAGCCTATATTTAGAAACACTAGTTTCCAGGCACCTAGGATACAGTTTACAGGGTGAGACCTTGTCCTGTCTTGTCAATATCACATTGCTAGAGCAAAAACATTCACACTTTAAGCTATATACAGTTTTATAACGGTGTATATCGTACCTAAATCACCATCGCCCCATGGAACTTCAAGCCAGCCACTGTTGAGGTAAATCCGACTCATCTTTTTTTTTTTAAATCAACATTTAAAAAGTCACTTCTCATTTGCTACTTCCGTTCGGCCATTTTAAGGCGCCCTGAGCTCCTTGTAATATGATCATTCACTCCAAAAAGAAAAGCAGCTTTTGAAAATCTGATTTATTTTCAAAATTCCCTTTTTTACTGATTGCTCCTCTTTCAGAAATGGCTGCTCCTAAATTATTTATTTTTCTTCTTACTGTATTCTTCCTGTAATGAAATAAAAGCACTACGATTCAGCCTGTGTTCATGGCTATGGTGAAACCACTTCACCACTTGGAAAGCTTTTTTGACTGTTTCCAGTCTTAGCACCAGCAACTGGAGTGAGACTTGAGAGCTCACTCAGCTGTGGTTCAGTGGACTCGCAGGGTCTGGCCACACCCCCTTTCATCTCAATATTATAAAAATAGGAAAGGATGACATTTATCTCAAATGAGCAGTTATGAAGAGATGAGAAACAGTGACATTTTTACATAAAGTTTTCATTTCACTGAAAATATTGCTATGTCCTCTTCACCACAGAGGGAAATTAGTTACGAAGCCAATGCAACTTGAGTTCAGGGGCCCTAACTTTCATGCTACACTCTAAGACTCTTTATCTAATTGTACATCTTATTTTTTCAAAATCCCCCACATATGTATTGTGTAAGCTTCAGGACCGGCAACATTTAGCCCATCCATACTCCCAAGTTTACAAATAAATTAAGTCAGTATTGATTTATTTCATTGCATGATTTCAGACAACCAGATTGACAGAGCCATAGAAATCCTTGCAAATGAGTTTAAGAGGGAGAAAAGAACATGCTATCAAAACCAGGTCTTCCAGGACTGAGACCGTCCTTGACTTTCCATTCCCATCACCTCTCTGAAAACTTCCTCACAATATGCTACTCCACATCTGAAAGCACCAGATTTAGCTGTGCCTTGGTTTCTCCAGGAGGACATATGGAATTAGCACATAAAATGGAACATATCTAACTGTTCATCTTCTATGAGCCCTCATTATCTCATAAGCAGATGATATAAGGGGTAAGATAGAAGTAAAAAAAGTAAAATCGGGTATGATTTACCTCAAGAAAATGAATTAAATTTTCCACAAGTAAAGGTAGTGCTTTCTCCAATGAACATTCAAACTTCAGGAAAAAAGAGGCCTAAAATCATTTTCAAAAAAAATATTGATGGAACACCACTTAATCTTCCCCATTAAGCACCATTCATCACTGCTGTGACCAGAGGATGCTAACTTGATCATTAACAGATCTGAGGTTGAACTCTATGCTGGACACTTATCAGTTATGTGATCTTTAGCATTTAACCAAATTCAGTTTTCTCAACTATAAAGGTAAAGGTAATTCCACCTACCTCATAGAATTTTGTTATATAAATTTATTACTTAGCATCATACTAAACACATTTAAAGTATCAGAAATACAAACCTATTTTAAACAATTACCTTCACAGGTATTCCCTATAAATCTTTATTTATATTTCATAAATAGAAGAAAGAATAGCTTAAGATTATGGAGCTTTATTTCATCTTATTCCTCTTTCCCATAGTCTATAGGAGCTACAAATAGGCAATGTTGAACATTCGAGACAATTATCATACCCACATAGACAATGCCACAATCTAACTCCAGTGTTTCCCACAAATTTCAGTCCAGCCATTTAAAATCTACTGCCTAATATTCACCTAGACATTTTGCTGACTTCTTCAACACATTTCTAAAAGCAAACTCATTTTTCTTTCACAACCAGCCATTTCCTTCTGGCTTATTTTCTTAAAGAATATCATTATCCTCTCTATCACTTGGCTACAGTAATATGATCTTAAACTTAAGCATAATAATTTTCCAGGATACTTCCTATCCATCAATGAGTTCACATATCTCTTTGAAAGGAGGCAGTTATCAATGCTCAGAAAATTCCTTTTTCATCTCTCTCCCAACCCATCCTCTTCATCCTGAGATCAGTCATTACATCTACCTATGCTTAGCCTTCAGGAGATCTCTTCTAATCCCATGAATATAGATGTCATCAACATGGTGATTACCCTGATTTTGTTGGGTTTTTTTGGCCTTTTTGAGACAGGGTCTCACTATGCAGTTCAGGCTGGCCTTGAGCTCACTTTGTAGCCCAGGCTGGTCTCGAACTCTAAATGATCCTCCTGCCTCAGCCTCCCAAGTGCTGGGATGACAGGTGTGTGCCACCATGCCCAGCGATTACCCTGATTTGATATCTCCAGGTCAGCTCTTTTCAATGGATTCAAAACTTTTGTTTTAACTTGCATACTCACCTTCTTCATTTGCATATTTAAGTAGACAATTCAGTCTAACATGTTGTCTTAGTTACTTTTCTCATTCCTGAGACAAAATACCTGATACCCAAAGTTAAGGGAGAAAAGGTTTATTTAGCTTACAGACCATAGAAGTTTCAATCCCTAATCAGCTGGCTCAAAGGTAGGATGGCACATGGCAACGGGCAGTAGTTCATGATGGGCAGAAGGTAGCAAACACAACAAGGGACCTTAACAGTGTCCCTTTTGTCTGCCCCTTTATCTCATCCACACTACTTAGGGTAGGTAGCACTCACTCCTTTAATACTAGTGACCTTGATCCTAGCATTGCATCATGAATCAATTCTAGAACCACACACTCTAGATCCAGCCACCTCCGAAAAATCTCCACCTATACCTCATGAAGCATTGGGAGGGGGCATCTAAACCCAAGCCATAACACGTGTCCAAACTGAACTCTTGATTTGATATTATTAAAATCTATCAGTAAATGCTAACTCTACTTATCCAGGTGTTTCAAGGCCAAAATCCTTTGCATAATCTTTAATATTTTCTGCTTTTCATATCCTGCAGGCTGCCCCCAATAACCCTTTCATCTTTACCATTCAAATAACCCAAACTTTAACTTCCTCTTAACTTCCAGTGCTACTACCTTAGTCCATGCCACTATTCTTCTCACCTAACTTTTTACAAAATCCTCCAAAGTAGTCTGTACCTTTTCATCCATGCCCTTTCAGCAATCTGTGCTAAATATTCCAGAGTCAAAGCCAGTCTTTTAAAGTCAAAAGGGATCCACTGGCCTCTCTTCTCACCAAAGTATAATCCAGTCTTTATCATGACCTACAAATATATATGGTCTGCTTCCATTTCAGTTCAGTTTGACCATAACCTCCTAGACTGATTCCTGACACCAGTTCCTACCCATCATTCTTGCCTGTTACTGTTGCTAAATTAAATGTCCAAAAACACTTGGACTCCCAGATTGCCCATCTGAAGCCATTTAGATAGTCAGAAAAATGCACCCTCTCCTTTGACAGGCAGGTCCCACGATGAGCTCTCAAGCCCCTCCTCCACATTCCTGTTACTTTTAGACTCAAGAACTTTAATAGTTCCCCATGATATACAGTCTAACATTCTTATCTGGGAGTTAAATATGATCTATAGTAAGGATTAAGTCTTCTTCATTTTATTTTCTAATACTAACTTCACAGATTCCTTTATTAAACTACATTGTTTTGCATGTTTTCCCCAAACAACACTTTTCTCCTTTCACGTTATTATCCCTTTGTCCAATTCTCTTTTTCATGTTGGGAAGTAATTTACTGAGGTTTTTATTGTCACTGTTTTTCCTGCTGAGTTTACAGGAGCTTATGAAATTTAAGCAGCTCGAAGGAGTTTCTTCTAAGTCAACAGAGAGGTTCTGTGTAGCAAGATACATTTGAAGAGTAAATAGAAGAGAAAAAAGAAAGAAGGATGGAAAGCAGGAGAGAGAAGAGCAAAAGGTGGAGACAGAGATTTAAAGACAAAAACAGAGGCATAAAAACTGAGACAAAAAGCAATAGAGGCAAAATTTTCAAACTGGTCCTGAGACATGGTCCCTACATTCATGCTAGGGCCATAGCCCTGAAAGGTAAAAAGGCCTCAAGAAACAAGATGGGCCTTGGCTGATTTCCTCACATTCAGGAGAGAGTCACATGCCTTAAATACAGCATGAATTCAACACATGTTGGACATTTTCTCAAGGGATAAAATGGACTTAGCCAATAGATTTATTAGCAGGAATGGGAGGAATATAAGCCAGTTGTGCTCCGTAATGCACCAGCAATGAAGCTTTATGATACAATATTGTCTCTTTTACCCTAGAACTCATGTATACTAAGTGGTCTGTTACTCTGTAATGGGGCAATGATAAGTATAACCAACTGGCCAAATAAATAGAGAATTACTTTGAGAAGTGAAAAGAACTACGAAATTTCATTGTCTACATCTTCATGTAGCAGTATGCATATTAAAATAGGAGTGAAATACGACACAGCAACAAGAACTGTATTTTCTTATTGGTTGTAAAAGTCTTTTTTTATATCAAATAAAAAATTGTAAAACTCAAAAAGTCATAATACATATTTGCAAATATGATCATCCCAAATATTTTGGTGCAAGCCTTTCCCAACATTTTTATAAACATTTTAAATTAAGCCGCATACGACCCATACTGCTTTTAATCTGCTTTGTCTTAACAATATCACATGGTTTTGATTGTTCCTGTGTCACCAAATATAATTCTAGTACAGTTAAAATGAGTACTTTATGATGTATATTGCATTATATAGTTAGCCATTATTTGTTTAGTTGATCACCTACCAACTAATGTTGAAGTGATTTTGGTTTTAGAATATCATCATAATTTGTGAATAAGTCCAAAAATTTACTTAAAGTAAATTTTTAAAATTTTGAAAAATGTCAGCAGACTATCTCCAGCAAGACTGGGCCTATCTAAGCTCATATTAACAATGCTGGGAAACTCTGAAGCCAAATTTAACAAGGGTTTGTTAAAAGCTTTCTTTTTTTTAAGTCAAAGCATTTATTCTTTATTATATTTTAATATATTTAAATTATGTCAAAAAGCTTGCATAAAATGTATTGTCTTTACAAAAAGTTGGATTTTAAGCATAATTTCATGGCTTATTTTCAGTTTTCTCTGCATTAAAGATGTTTGAAATTCACCCAGATGAATTTATCTACCCTTTTCCTTTTTTTGCTTTTTATCATCTTGCACAAGTCTATTGTCACTAACACATACAGTATCTTCTACTGCACAGTTTGGTAATTTACTCTTCACTTAATTCTTTATTCCTATAATAATTTTCTACATTCCTTTGGGACATTAAGGGCCAAGAGAGTGATATGATTGTTTATTCCTGCTTCCCAGCATTAGCACAGCAC